TCTCGCAGTTCTTATTTCCCCCTTCATCTTCCGCGTGATCCTCCTATATTCCTCATCGTCCGTGCTATCTCCCGTCCGCTTGTGCGCATCCCATTTCCGCTTTTTATCCCTGATGAGAGCTTTGATTTTACCCGTAAACTAGACCGGTTGAATGCCCGATTTTATGGATCCAATGATATCCAATGATACCGAGGAAACGATACCGAGCATATTCGCCCCGGAAAGCACTTCTGTAATGAGTGCTAATGTACATGCTAATGATTTTGAAATGATTTGGCGCACGTCAGCAGGTCCTCCTACATGTCTGGTCCTCTTATATTCGGCCGGTTCTTGAGTGCGCCTGCGCTTCCTGGAACAGCTCCCTACCCGGCCGAGCCGTATTTCCCATCGAACAGGAGCAGAAGAGCGCACTACGCTTAATCCTTGGGCATGAATATAAAACTTGCGAAAAGGCCTTGTCGACCATGGGCATCCCATCCTTGCAAAAAAGTCGACTGGATCTTACATCTAAATATACCCATGCCCTCCTAAAAAAAAACCATCGCGACGGCAGGCTTTACCTCCCTACCGACAATACACACCAATGAACCTGACAAGAAACATCTCATCTCTCTTGCAAGAGCATAAGTGCCACACGCGCAGATTCTATATACCAGTCAGCAATTCCCTTCATGACCTGCTTGATAAACCAGAAAACTACCAGAGAAGACCGCCACACTGGCTCAGTACAAACCCCTTAATTTTGTTACCCTTTGACGATGGAATGAAAATTTCCTGATTATGCACGATTATTCCAGAATCATGAATAAACGACTATTATTATTCTATTATTATTTTTGTTATTGAAATCTTCAATCAAACCTGTTTAAAATGTAACTAATTACTTCCATTGAGCTGAAATATATGATTTTGCCATATACTTTACACATTATACTTTTTCGACTCCAACACTGGTGGTCACTGACCACTGTCTTACGGCGAGATTGAGGACTCGATTACATTTCTATTGCTTGAAGCTAGTGTTAGAAGTACTACTTTGCTGAGCGCCAACAGGGTCCATTCAAAAGCATGGAGCCCATATTAACGGGGGTTAAAGTCATTCCGGAAACACTGTGTGTCATGCGTCCTAAAGGCACTTTCTTCTCAGAACGAGTCGAGACGATTCGAGGAGCTCTGGATAGGCCTATTGTTCCTCGACCGCACTGAAATGGCTCGTGACAAAAAACACGTCCTCAACGAGGTGTCTCGGAGACGAGGGATTAATTGGTCCGTAGGCCGAGGATTGAGTTTCTTCTGATATCGAAATCGCCTCTTGATATCACTAATTATCTTGAATCTTGAAAGGTCTAGGCCCGACCCGAAGACAGTCCGTCTGTCGGAAAAAAAACAGGTTTCCTGATCCCTATGCGAGATGGCGCCAATTCGCTAACGCTGGGATTTACCTCATAAATGCAACTGGCACGCGTCCCCAGTACGTTCGGAACGGTACTTGATATTTTCTTCAGAGACAGCACCGGGGAAGGTATTTGAGTTCCTGCATGCATTCGACGAAAGAAGTGGCAGAACCCAATGAGATCCTTGGCAAAAATGGCCCGAGGAACGGAGAGAACCGAGTTCACGTGTTGATGTGACTCCACGAGACCCCTTCATTAAAGTATAAAAACTTTCTTTATATAACGTCGTTGGATCGTGTGGAGGTGGATACATGGTGTGATCGACAGAGTTCTCGTTTTTTAAAGTAATCGCTCTGTATCTCCATCCTTCATCGAGACCCTCTCGTCCTGTCCTGTCCTCGGCATAGAGTCCGTGTCGAGATGGAAGAAGGTGTCGATATCTCGCCGACGATCGTGGAAAACTTCCATATCCATCCGCATGCGGCATTCCATCGTCGCATGCGGATGGAGTGCACGTTGAGGAAATGTCCAGACTCGTCTCATTTCGACGTTGCGTCGATGTTTTATCTATTTTCTTCAACATCGTGTACGTTGAGACTTCGATGTGCAGACTGGGCACGTTCCTAAGCATTCTGTTTGTTTATTTATTTTTATTTTTATTTGTTAGTAGCCAACTTTAAAACACGTTGAATTACCCCATTCGTCAAGATTCGCACCGACGTTATTAGCAATACGTAGTAATGATGATTGCCTCTTATGCATTGGAATGACCTAACGGTACGCTTGCTGATACCGCGTGAAACTGGAATGTGTGTTTTTTTTTGCCATCTGTTTAGAGAAGGGCTTGTCGTACCTCTCTGCAATCCTCGGTTGCCGCGTCGGAAGCACGTTTCCTTAGAAATATTGAAAGGAAAAATGGAGCAGGGTAAAACCACCGATGTTTCGGACAGTTAAGCCGGGATAGGATTGGAATTCGCTCGTCGCGCCTTAGTGGTACGACCCAGATACCTGTACTTTTTAATTTTTTTGCGTCCGGCTGCATGATACGAGTAGGTTTGAGAACGATAATGGTGATGACCGTCGAAGCCTTATAGCTTCCGATAATTCCAACGACGTGGGTGTCCAAACTGAGATGCGAAAATATGAAGTCGGAACGGAACGTCGTTTGGACACGCCAGAAGTATGACGGAAATCCGGTCGTGGCATGCGTATTCCCTTTTAGGAGTCCTCTACGTTCCCTAGTTTCCTGTGGAATGAGATCCGATCACAGAATTAAGAATACCGCGTGGGAAGCGTTTCTCAAATAAGATCGCCTCCGTACGTTTGCTTGAATTTGTCCCGTCCGCGACGCGATATTCGTTTTTGTCCGATACTTGGAAATTCTTGCGAAAATACTTGCAATACTTGCGATTCTTTCGATATCGTGACGAAACCAAGTTTATTGGGCTCGCAAAGGAGGGTTTCCACGGTTTTTAGTCGGATTCTTGCCACGGCGTGAGGTCCATGGGAGGTCTGGAGGCACACGACACCGGCGAGTTCCTGCAGCAACGATAAAAAATTTTTTTGTCAATTCTCCATCGACGAGATTCGTTTCTTCCTCGTTCGTCGCCGTCCACCCAACTTTTCGATGGATCCGGGAGCAGAAGTGGCCGAGGCCACGATATCGTTTGCTACGAGTCTCGCATTTCCTTTGGATTCTAAAAAAAATGAAGCCGATATCCGATTTCGTTTAAATCGAGTGATTGCTATTTGCACGGCAACCGGAATCTTAAACGAAAAATGCCAATCGATATTCAGCGATGGGTACGGTTAACAAAGTCGTCTGCTACGTGGAAACGAACGTGATACCCGTCGATCGTGACCGTCGACGACCCCCAATATTTACGTTGCTGAAAATAGGGAGGAATCGAGTCGATGATCTAGCGGCGATTTTGAAACCGTGGGACGAGCCTAACCTTGGCCTAACCTGCAGGCCGCGCGAGGGCTCGAGATTAAAATTTCTCCGTGAAGCACCAAGCGATAACGAGAAGGAAAAAAAGGTATACTGAAGAAAAGAAAAAAAAAACAGACCCCAGCTGCTTGCATATTGGCTTTACGTGTACAGGCCCAGACAGCAATCCCCGACTACAGTATATGGTATATTATGTGCGCAAGCGCTAGCTTCAAACATCCGTTCCTGCAACGGTTCGACTTAATAACGATCGTGAATCGCAAGTCGAGATCAAAATATATCGTCGAGAACCGAGAAAACATTTTTCTTCGTCTCTCGGTACGTTGCACCACTTGCTGAACTCTTCGAGCAAGCGTAAGGAGGAGCACGGGGACTATGAGAAAAGTTGAGTTGCGACTTGGAAGAAAGAAAGGTGAGGCAGGATGAAATCCTCCGTTTTTAAAGAGGGGCACCCGGGGCACCCCAAACGACTTTTTTTTCCCAACATGTTAAAAATAGAAAAGGGAAAATACTGTGGATTCACCGTTGATTTACTGGATCGACCGTCGAATTGCTGCCGAATTACCATGGAATGATCGCATCAAATTTTCTCGCCGATGAATCTTGTAATACTCGTTGGTGTTGGATGCGCTCGTTCAAAGAGTATCGCTCGTGACCTGAACGAAAATCGGAATGCGAGAGTCGGGAAAACAATGCGGTCGCTCACATGCACATCTTTACGATCGTGTGAGTCTTTTGGAATCGTCATCGAGGAACGAGGTCCCATGCGATCGGTCACCCTTTGGGAACGAGAAAAGGCGGGGGTGAGTCGTGCGCATAGAAGGGACGGCTACAACGTAGCTCTTGCTTAAATTTCGGATGGATCCTGGAACAGACGTAAAAAGGGTGGTGCACGAGCGGAAGAGGCGATCGAGAGCGATAGCTTTTCCATCAGTCTTCATTAGGATTCTCGATCCGTCTCGACCGGCAAACCGTGAATTCCTTTTTTGTGCATTTGTAAAATTTAGTATGTACACGAACACGTGGCAAAAAGATTCTCGCTTTTGAAGACGACGTAGTTAGTTGAGGGCACCTTCTCATCCCTCTTTCCATTCACTTTTAAACGTACTAAATTTTCTTAGTCTCGCAGTAAGGGCTTCCCCCCCCCTCCCCTACCTCCCAATGTAAAAGCTCTACATCTCATATGAATTTGAAGCTAGTCCCTAACGACCCGCTTGATGGATTCTTCCTCCTGTGGAGATTCTTTTAACTGCAATAGGAAATAGGTTTTCCTTGGGAAAACGGTGAAAATGCCTCGACTGGCTTGAAAGGCATGAGGCCAGTCGAGGAACTAACATTTCTCTCTTCTAAAAGATTTTCCTGTCCCCCCCCCCTATGTGATCCACTCTGAATCCCCCTAGAAGTCGTAACCCAGAGATTGAGAAATGTTGATGAGGTGAAATTCCCGATTAGCGATCGGGACTATCTGATGGACTCTTTCTCGAGGCGTGTGATTTAGAGGACGCGATTTCGTTGGCCATATCCCCACTTCCGACCGGCAAAACTACCGATATCGATACTGGAGGTACGAGTGCTTACCCGGCTCCGGCAGGGCGCATGACCAACGGTTGAAGGGAAGTGGCCACGGAATTGTCACAGATGACGTCTCCCAGCTTTCTGTTCGCGATGACCTGGACCTGCTCGGGAGTGAAGCTGTTCGGGAGCCCGGCGTGCGTGAAGAAGAAGCGATCACCGTACTTGAGACGACGGAAGCCCTCGGCCACGTAGCAGGCGAGGGTCCTGCCGATCAAGGCGTCGCTCGCCACCGGTGGTTCCAGGAAACCCGCGCTGTAGATGTCCATGTCGTCCGGGTCCCTGCTCGACGACAAAAAAATCATCCGCTCGATTCCTTTCTTCCCGAAAAAAAA